CTGCTCTCAAAATCTCACTGTTAACCTTGCTCTACCCATGTCTTTCTGTACCCAACCTTTTTTCATCTTGTACTCAGTCTTCAAGCTCCTATGAGAGTGGTTGTCTCTTTGTTAAATATTTATAAAGCTAGGGTATCAGAGTGTTGCTTTTAGCAGTGTTGCTAATAAGCTCACGGAAGATTTACTTTTCATTGCCAAAGCAGAAAGTGTGATGTCCCTAACTGATTTTATGAGAATCTTTCCTTAGACTTTAAAAGGTAGGTTGTGTAACCAGTATTCTGTATTTTTGTTTAAGCTGAAACTTTTATTTGGCGATAGTAGATTTACAACAGTAGAAATACAGTTTCTAATTTTGAATGAGATGGTTAATGTTTGGAATTCTGAAATAATACGGGATATAGTTAGCAAACATTGCATTAGTTTTTGCTGTATTGTTTGGTGTAAAAGGTTATGATATTTGTGGTTATTATAAATGTTACAAGGTTATGATAAAGTTTAAGACGTAGCCCTTCTGTTATCTCAGAACTTGAAAATTTAGTGAATATGTCTGCCTGCCAAACAAATATCTTGTCTCTGTCCCGTAAAATTCTATTCAAGTCTTATTTTATTCAGATAAAACACTTGAAAATTGTCATTTTCATGTTGTCATTTTTGTTCAACTATGATGTTTTTATAATACAGCACATTAAAAAAATAGCCTTAGAATTTTAAATGCTGGGTTTATACAAACAGCAGAGCAAGACCAGTGGCAGTGACACTGCACATTACCCATATGAGCCTGGGAGCTGGTGAAACTACTTTAGCAACCTGTGCTGCTAAAGCAGCCCTCAGGAGCTTTCCAGCTTTTCCCTGAGGTTGCAGACTGGCTGGACCTTCCAGGCCACTTCCCTGCCACCCATTTCCTCTCTTTTAGGAGGAAATACATGTATTACATGCTCTGCACCTTCAAAAACAAGAGGTTGAAAGAGCAAACCAAGTTTCTTTTCTCTGAATCACTGCCTGGTTCCAGCATTGGTCTTGTTAGTTTTCTGTCCACAGAGAACACATGATGGGTTGGAAGCTCTTAATGGAAAAAAAAAAAAAAAACCAAAACAAAAAAACCAAACACAAAAAGAAGGCAGACTGGGCCTCTTTCAGCCATTTTGAGATCCAGAAGTTTGTTGCATTAGCTCATATTTTGTCCTTTTTCTCCTTCAATTGAAGTGGAAGCTTCTTTGGAGGCAAATGTAGCTGGTCTCTTAGCTGAAGAGAACTGAAGACTGCAAATGGGCAGATCTTGAATATTTTACAGCAGGGCACTCATGAGCCATGGCAGCTTGAGAGAGGCAGCAGCTTTCACATCTTGGTTTCTTCTGGACTTCCAAACAGTCTGGGAGCCAGCTGTCACAGCCAGAGTACAAAAGCAACTTCTCCCCTGTCTATCTGTATTTCTGCTGGCATGTTTAATGGCTAATTCAGAAAAGAAAACTATAGCGTGGCCCACCAAATTTCCAAGGCATAAAAGACTGATGCCTATTGTAGTGTTAAAGGTGACAGACCTTGTGGATACTATATGAAAGTGAAAGGTATTAGTACAGTTTATTGTATCATGTATTTTAAGTACGGAATTGCTTTCTGTGTTAGTTTTGACCCTGTCGCTTCTCTCCTTGCATGCTTCTGGAGGTTGATTTCTTGCTATCACATCAAATAGAAGCTGTTTGCCTTCAACTGAGGGCTTTCATGGACTACGCCCATCTTTCATTTTATTTTGATAATGTGATGATTATAGTTACATTAGCCATTTAATAAGTTTTCAGTATCTCTATGCTGATTCCTGTTTTTTTGGGGAGTTTCTCTTGTGTCTGTTCAAAGCCACGTCATTGCTCGGTTTCGTCATCTTTCTTCAAATTTTTCCTGTCCTTTGACTGAGAATCTTTTCATTTGGAGAGTGTCCTGTTATGCAGACAACTATCTTACTCATTTTATTCATGTTTCTATATCATGTCTGTATAATATGTAACCCTTTATTGTGTACATAGGCTGTAAGCTTTTTTAATAGAAGCAGATGTCACTGTTTTGTTCAGTGACTTACGGAGTACATGATGCATATTCCTACAATTCCCAGATGTTATGATAATATGTGTAATGGTTCAAGTAATGTGCCTACATCTTTTATATTATTAGTTGTTGAAGACTGTGCTACCATCTGATATATCCGTATTTCATCAAAAATAACTGAAGTTTGTTCAGTGTGTAAAAGAATTGGTGACATTTACAGTTTTTGTGTTTTCTGCACTGCAGTAACTTGAGGGTTTTACTTCTGTAGAGCCTCCCTACACAGACCCTCAATTCTCCTATTCCTTGCCAGCCCCCTGCCTAAATCCATTCAGATCTCGTCTTCAACTTCTCAACAGTACCACGCTGCCCCAGCTTCCTCTCAGGCTGCCTGAGGGCACCATCGTATCTCCTTATACTCTCAACACCCTCCCTCATGTTTGGTATTTCCATTTTGGGCAAGAGGCAGCATGTTCTGCAGCTGACGCAAGCTATCCATGGAATACAGAATTAAGTGCATGGCAATTGATGCTGTTACCTTCTAATTTCAAATGATGGAAAAAAAGCTTTGTGCTTTTTTTCTTATGGGCACTGGTGGGATCTTCATTATTGATTTTCATGAAGATTCTAGGAATATAATGTTTTTCAGGTGTTTGTTCTTGTCTAATTTAGTTTATAATCTCAAAAACTATTGATGGTCAATAAGTTTTGACAGATAATATACCATAAGCTATTCTCATTACAAAGTTTACTGAAAATCATTCTTTCAAGTTAGTTTTGAGATCCTAGCTGTTGAAGGTAATGTGAAGTGCTGGCTGATTGCAAAGAGTGTAGAGTTTTTCTTGGGTTTGTTCAGTCTTTCATTAAAGCTTGGAACTATTCAATATTTAGAGTAATGCAGCTGTGTCTGCATCTGAAAACACATAAAACTACAGCACTGATAGCTGTGACAGGTAATGTGAACATCTAGTGGCTTTCTTCAGGAATATAAATAATATATCTGCATGTTTGTATTTTAAACTCTAGAGATGACAGAGAGATATAAAATGCTGCAGAATCCTTACTGTGGTTTAAGAATCTGAGCTTTGGCTTGTGTATATAACTAAACATGTGAAGGGTGTGCATTTGCTTTTAGATGAATGCCTACTTTATTATTACTGTGAGAAGCTTTGGCAGTTTAATGCAGTTGCTTATTCGGTAACTGGTCACAGGAGAATGTGGGCAACATGTTTAGCATGTTCAGTCAGTTGATTCAGCAGTGTCATTGTTAATCTCACACAATGACATCAAAAGGTAGGACACAGTAAATCCAGAATAAGGGCTGTCTTACCAAAGGTTTATAGGAAAATGGGTGAAGATGGAGCACATCAAGGCCACTGCTCTCCTTCTCAAATGGCGCTGGTGAGGTTAAGATGAAAGTGGTCTTTTCCCTCCCCTTCCCAAAATGACCTCTCAGAAGAATTCTAGAGATGAGACAGTGCAAGACTCCTGCTGGTAGGATCTTGTGCAGAATGGGCAAAGCTACTCTAAGACTGGGATGCAATGTGGTATGTAAGTTCACGACAATAGCTGAAAGCAGCTTGTATGAGGACTACTCTGGGAAACAAAAATATCTTATTGCAGTTCTTTCCCAGGTTTCCCCAAATCCTTTTCACATGAATTGCATCTGCATCCTGATTTCCTTGGATTTTCTGCAGCTTTAGGCCCTTTGGATTCCTCTGTTTCTTCTGTCTAGAAGGTTGTCTGGGCACCAGTAACTGCTGGAAAGCCAAAGTAGAAATAGGACTTTTGAGGTAGTTCCAACAAGTTGAATATAAGGCACTAGGTATGAAGCAGCTCCTGCCCTGCCTCATTATATGTGCCCAACATAATAAATCTCAATTTCCTAATCTGCTGTGCCTGGCATATTTGGATCCCAGTATGTGCTTTGTGGGATGAAAGGTCTGGAATGGAGCAATCTGGGTGGGATGACTCATGCACAAAAGAGACCTCCTAGAAGGTTCAGAATGCTGCCAGCTGCAGACTGGTGCCAAGCCCCCTGTCTGTTCCTCTAACATAAACCAGCGTGTGCTCTTCCTGACTGCACAACCTGATAAGCTTCTCTTGTCTCATCTCATGAGCAGAGATGCTGTGTCTGCCCTGTGTTAATGCAACTCGATCTGCTGGTCCCTTCTGTCAGGTACAGGTGAGAGGCTGGGGAGCATAGCAGCTGGGAAGTACTTTGAAGTACTTGTAAGGTGCAGTTGGTTTGTGTCAGTATAATGCCCAACACTGTATGGACCCATTCACTGTTGATCTCCAAGTGTAATTTTAGGTGTTTAAAAGAGTCTGCTTAGTAGAACTGTTAAGATGGGGCCGTGGTGATTCCTGTGTTCATGTGCATTCGTCTTGCTGGCACAGAAGGGTGCTGGTTTCACCCACCCACACAAGCACAGGTGCTTCAAGCATATTTTTACATGATCTTCTTTAAGTAAAATTTTAACCGTTGTCTGATTTCTTGCATGCTTTTGAAGAATTTTACCTCCTTGTTTAAGAATTTTGCTTTGGTTCTACTGCTTCTAGTTCACTTCTGATTCATGTAGAGTGAGTGTTCATCCCTGTCTTCTAATACAGGTGGATAATGGCCATTTTTTTCTTTTCTGTGTGTTCTAAGAGTATAGGTAGTGACAATATTTGCACAGGGAGGTGGCACAGTCAGGGAAATAATCTGTGAAGAACTGGGAATTTTTTGTGTATTTACTGAGAAGGACTTCAGCAATTCATGAGTAGAGATTACAGGCCCTGTGTACTTCCTCACATGCCTGTTTTCAGCGCTTTTGCTCTGGGTGAATTAATCTACAGAAGAGTGTTTTACAGAGTAACTGAAATATTGTTTGTCTTTTTAGGCTGTGAAGCATGTTACAGAATTGTACGACAAGTGGATGAAGGGGAAAGGAAAAAGTGCCATTGATAGCTAGGATAGCAACATGGGAAATACAACCACCAAATTCCGCAAAGCTCTTATAAATGGAGATGAAAACTTGGCCTGCCAAATCTATGAGAGCAACCCTCAACTAAAAGAAACTCTTGACCCAAATACTTCTTATGGAGAAACATACCAGCACAATACTCCACTCCATTATGCTGCTAGACATGGAATGAACCGTATTCTTGGGTAAGTATCATCTGAAGTTTTGCTTAGATGGGAATAACTGACCTAAGAAATGCATGAGTCTCAGCTAGGTTATAAATACCTTATGTGTGTGCACATATGTGTGCATATGTATGTGTGTTGCAGACACAGAATTCATAACATGTTCAGGTAGTAATAAAAATCATGCAAATTAGTCTATAATCACAGACTGGTATAACAGTTTCTAGTTTGATTTTTAGTATCTTTGTTCCTTCCTTGTAACATTAGTTTTGGACAGTTTTAGCTAGCTTCCTGTGGACTTCTATACTACAGTTCTTTGCAAACAGTGCCTGTTCCCCTGTTTTTGATGTGCTTTCCTGTCTTAAAATAAGCTGTTTGTAAAGCCATACCTAATGGATACCATACTGATTGTATCTAATTCCAGATGGCACAATATATATTTCCAGTTCTTGTGTTATTCAGGTAGCTTTTATTTATTATTTTGGATAATAACAGTGAACATTAATATCTTGATAATGAGGAAGTTTGTTATTGTCACCGTCAACATGCACAGCAATCCCTAGTGTTAGCTACTTCCATTCTTCTGTACTTTTGTACTAAGATCAATTAAAGATTAACATCTTATCCATGTCCGGACATTGCAGGTACAAGCTGTTCTGGTCTAGTATTTCATCAAGCTAGTGCTGCGTAGACATTGCTAAACCTCTTCTTCAGTAGGTAGCAAGTTAGAGAGAATTTCATAAATATCCTCTTCCTTATGTTTGGAAACAGAACAGAAACGTATACTGAACTTTATTGTTGATATTCTTTTCATCTCTATGTTTAAGTCTACTGATGGACCTGTGGTAGTCATAAGGTTTGTTTTGTCCCTCATATGATATAACTTCACTAGCTGTCTGGCCTCCCACCATAAATTTTTCCTCAGTATTTTCGATTAACCTAACAGTTTTGTCTACTTTATAACCTCTCATATATCATGATTTTTGCTAAATATTTCTCTGTCTATCCCCATGTATGCTATATTTCTATTTTTAATTGATTTTTTCATTTCGTTGCTGAATCTGTTTGTTTCTTAACATCCCCAAACTTTCCCCCATTCCTGGTTGTTGAATTAGAGGAAAAAATTTTAAGTACACTTAATTTTAAATAGCATCCAGTTTTTAATTTACATTTTCTGTGTGGGTTGGTTTTTTTGGTTTTTTTGTTTTTTTTTCTCTGAGATTTTCAGGTTATTTCCCTCAAGAAAATACCTCTTAAGAAAATACAGCCTCACTGGAACAACAAGGACACATGAAATTGTTTGCACATACGCAAAGAAATGGAGTCGTAATGACAGACTGAGCAGTCCATCAGTTAAATCATATTGCAGTGTTATTATGAGATCTCAAATAATTGCTTTGTGTTAAGAAAAAAAAGACAATTTAGAAATGACATTTTACTACTGCATGAGACCGTTAGCATCTAAATCTCACAGGACAACTCAGTGTTATTTTGCATACATTGCAAACAAATGATCAAAGGAATAATTCTTTTTTTCTAGTTTGAGTCCAAGGTTTGCAATACATTTTTTGCCATAGTGAAGGTGCTGTTATCTGCTAGAGTCTGCTTCAGAAAACCTGGACTGTTGTTGCTGTTGCTAGGAGTAATTTTCTGAGGGGTTTTTACTATTTACTTTTCTGCTGTCTTTCTAAGGGCCTTTTTTCAGAACTCCTGTCTAAGACATGCTGCAGGAAAATGTAGCCGTTTTATCTAAACAAGGTAGTAACAGTGAATAAATACCAGACTTGCAGTATGCCCATTGGCAAAGTTGATAGTACAAAGGGCACAGGTGATTTCCAGTTAAGACTCTTCCTTTTGATACAGAAAGTCCTGGATATGGCAGAGATTCAGTGAATTGAATATTAAAGGTAATGCTTTGATTTACTGGTGAAGTACAGTAGCTAAAAATAAATTAATTTTAGTCTGTTTTTCTTTTGAGAGAAATTTACAATTATGAGATGTCCATAATGCTATCATATTTTATATGTATCACTTCATTAAACATTTTAAATATCTGGGAATCTGTAGCCACTCTAATTTGTAGTTCAATGTCTAGATGTTACGTACATGTATACGGTATCATTCAACTTTTCCTTATAGGCTGATACTAGTGTTATTGTAGGTGAATATGAATTTACATGTTTTGCGATTCACTGTGTGAAATTTTCTCAAAATAGAGTAGCGCGATGCAATTGTGAGCACACCTTGTGCATAACAGAATACACTGAGAGAGAGATTCTGGGATGTTTAGAAATAACCTATCTGGCAATGCAGTTACCAAATACTGAGGCAAAGGGATATACCAGACAGATAGCTAGTGGTGACTGTCCAAAAACACAATGAAAGCACAGGCACCAAGTTTGCAATGAAGGAGAGTTGGGGACATGCTGGTGTAGCAATCTCTGAAGTGAAGAAACAAGAAACTGGAGAAGAGGTGAAAGTGACATGAAGCAAAACTCCTGACCTGGACAAACTCTGTGTCATCCAGCACGAAGTCTACTGGCAGAAACTTAAGCCAACAGAACTTTCTCAGTGATTTTGAACTGCACAGTTGAACACCACAGGTGTTGAGTTATCTGTCTGCTGCACCTTTCATGCAGTATTTAGAGCACAGGAACTGGATTTAGTATATAACTGAGCTGTAAAAACTGGAAAATTTGCTGTTCATTTATTTTCTCTTCACAAGATTCAGCAAGAGTGTTAAAATACTAGGATTGTTTCTATGATAATTTTTCGTAAGTATCATTGAAAGATTTGGAATATTACGAATGTTGAAATAAGAAAAGGGAAAATAGTTAAGACAGTCCGTTAATATATAGCTCTTGTTCAGTCTGCAGCCCTAAATAATGTTTGCCTAACAGATCAGTTTATTTTAACAGAGCATTTAATGTTTATAAACTAAAAATTGCTGGTCCCAGCTAATTAGCACAAACAATAATTTTTGAAGCACTGCTTCAAAACTGCTGGTTGCCAGAAGTTACTACGTCATGCTCAGCAGTTCCCTGATGAAGCATTATGAACAGACCACAACCCCATTCCCTGTCTGTCACTGCTCGGTGGAGAAGGAGGTAGAAGAGTTGTGAATGCGGTTGAGACTGGGCAGAAGGGGGAGTGGAGGAGAAGTGTTTTCAGTTTTGTTTTTATTTCTCACTATCCTACTCTATTTAATTGGCAAAAAATTAAATCCAGTTCCCAAGTTAAGTCTGTTTTGCCTGCAAGCAATCTCCACAAGCTTCTTTGTTGCATTATCTCCCCTTCCCATTAGGAGGGGGAGTGAGAGAGTAGCTGGGTAGGCACTTGGCAGCCAGCGAAGGTCAACCCACCACAGAGATAAAGGTGGTTTGGGGAGGAGTATGCTTAGGATAATAGAGCAGGGGTTAAAACGGACTAGTGACATGGAAATGGGTGGCTTGTTAGACTATGATGTTTATTGGACCGTGCCTGATCACCACAGTCTGTCCTTCTCATTTAACTCTTATTTTCTGAGGTGATGGAATTCTGCTGCGTGCGTATTTGTGTATGGAGGTCTCAGTAGCAGCAACTGAAGTAGGCACCTCATGATAGAGTGATCTCTGAGCCTGGGCTTGCCAGCAGCTGGAGAGACCAAACTGCGTGCATATGTTAGTACATACATTGACGTGTAATGTCTGGTGAACATCAAGCTGGCCCAGCCAGTGAGTAGGATAAGTGGCCTGGGAGCCATGTTTCAGGTCAGCATTAGTTCCACAGGTCAGCCAGAAGGCCTGTTTGAGGCAACTGGAGATGAGAGGACACAGGGGTCAGGTACTGGTAGTGTCTAAGGCCAGTTACTGGGGATCCACAGTACATCTGTGTGAAAGGTAACTGGGAGGTCCAGTTCATCCAGCACCAGCTAGAGGATAAACAGCATCCAAGGCCAGTTACTGAAGGAAAAAAAACAGGAAAAACATTTCCAGTTACAGGAAAAACATCATTTATATGCATATTTTTCCCAGTAGTGGACCTTTATCCTGCTTGCCTGGAATGAGGCTGCCGGTGTTGCTTGTGGTCATGTGAGTGCTGAGTGTTTCTGTCCATAGACATCTGTGTGGACCACCATCTACATGTGTATTGCGTATGTATGTTTGCATGTGTGTCTGTTGGGAATGCAGCCCAGCCTTTCTACTGGCTGGACCTGGGGACATGGAGCCTCAGCAGTCTTACCTCCCCCTGACAGTCTGGGGCCTTTTACTAAAAATAAAAGGTACGAAAAGAAAATGTATGCCTTGAAAACTCTCTAGAAAACATGAGAAGGTTGCTTTTCATTTTGGAAGCAAAGAACTAAACATTTCAAATTTTCTTTATTGAAAATAAATAATATTGTAAATACTGCAGGAACAACTTGAGTGTGATTTACTCAGTGATTTTCTGCTCTGCTGCAGTCTCTAGACATCTGCTGGTGGTGCTTAAATTCAGCACTAATGTTAAGAGAAGTTTGCCTTGGTTGTTAACAGCTCTAGTTCAGAAATGTCATCTCTGTGTCACAAAACTGTATTGATGTGGCTATTCAGACTGTTCACTACAAGCTAATAAATAGATGATCTCTAGTGGGTGATAGGTAAGGCTTCTGGAAGTAAGAGAAAAAAGTTACATAGCATTCAAACATCAAATAATAAAAGATATGTATCACAGATGGATTTTGAGAGCTTTGTACAACATACACATTGGTCTTATTCCACTATAAACATTTATCATGAGTCCCTGTGAATGACGGTCCTGACAGAAGATTCCTATTCAAGAGGACAGTTTAAATTTCATTGATGAAATTGGTGTAAAATATTACAGAGAAAGGGCGCACAGGAAACCTGTTTCCTTTAGAAAAAGCATTTTTCAGATGATGAAGCAGTTCTGATGCCCTCAGGCTTTTTTTTTTTTTTTTTTCTACCTAAGGTACATCTGAGGCCATCTGACTGCTCAGTTTGAAAGGATTGCTGTCAGTGTGGAAAGTTACTATGATTGGGCTG